CCACAGAGTTTTGTTAGGGCCTAAGAAATACAATTTTTGTTAAGCCTGATGAAAAGTACAAAAAAAAAGAGAATTTAATAAATTTCAAATCATTAAAAAGAACAAATAAGAGTGCTTTAGAAGGGTGTGCTCGACTAGAAAATACCCTGAACTTGGCATAAAAATGCTGCTGCTTTCAGCTCGCGTGTTTTACTTTGGGTCCTGCTTTGATCTAGACTCTAGTTTTGCTAAGAGGTGAATGGATCAGCTATACTCGAGAGAGATTTTCAATAAAGAGAAATAGATTGACGTATTGGAACTTGTGCTATAAGATAATATATATATTTCGATTTCAAATTTCATTTCAAAACTTTCCATTACTTTCTTCTAAACATATTTTCTTGGGAAAGTGTAAATGGCGTTCGTTGTTGTCACATTTGGGAGTTCTTTTCCTCTTTGTTTTTGTATTTTGGGCCACTTCTTTATTTTTTTTCGTTGTTTGGGGCGACTTAATTAGGAAACTTGGTGCGTTTTATTTATGTGTCTTAACGAGTCGTTTATTTAGCTCACCCTCAGTCGCTGTCTCGCTCGCGCCTCTCCAACATCAAATCAAAGCTGAGCACAGAAAAATCAAAATCGAAAAAAAAAAACATTTAGAAAATTTGTTTATTGTTTTCTTTGGGGTCCTCCACACACTAATTTGGAAAGAAAGAGAGCAGAAATCGAAATCGAAATCGGAATTCGAAGTTAAAAGCAAAAACCAAAAAGGAAAATGCCGAGCAGACGGGTCGAGAGTCCAAGTGGTGGTGGCTCGTTGCGTTTGAGGCAAATTGAAAATAATGTTGTACCTTGATTTAAATAAAAGAATGGGCAACATACACACGCACACACACAGCCACACACACAGGCACACACAAAAAGCAATTCAACGAAAAACTAAACATAAATTCCCACAATGCACAAACGACGTCTTCACTCAGCCTCTTATGAGTGTGTGTTTGCGTGTGTGTGTGTGTGTGTGTGTGCGTGTGTGGGCCATGAACTTTGTTTTTTATTAGCGGCAGGATATCGGCATTGCCTCTCTCTCTCTCCCAATATATATTTAAATGTTAATTCGTTTGCGTTAATTGGAAAACAACAAACCAAAGCAACAAAAACAACAACAACAACAACAACAACAACATCAACAAATCAGACGCAGAGAGCAAGTTGCAACAGAATTCCACGCAGAGCTAAAAATTTATTTTTAAGCAGACATTTTTGTGTGCATTTATTTATTTATTTTGCCGCTGGCAGCAAACAATTTGTAATCGTTGTTTCGCTGCCTGCCGTTGACAAGGAAAATGTTGCAGCTGCGGCACGCGAAAGCTGCATGCAACACGCCGCTCACCGCGCGCCGCTCGCCTCTGTCACTGTCGCCTTAATTGCATGCGCAAGGAAGCGGCAAAAATATGCTTATAGCTTTTGATGAAGCCAACAACAGCAGCAGAAAACAAGTGGCAAGTGGCAAATGCCAGAGGTCGTTTGTGGGGCAACAAATAGCGAACAGAAATCTTCAAATTCAATGCAGCTTGTGCATCACACGGATTCAAGTGCAGCCAATGCACAGAGAAAGAGAGAGCTGCAACTAGTCCAGTTGCTTATGATAGTATTTCTCACAGAAGTTTTGTGGACTTCATATGTTACCTGAAGCCATAAGCAGCTATACGATCACAGAGCACTAAGAACCAGCATTTTGCAGCTTCCGACTCAAGAATAATTTTATGACTAATAACTCAAGAAAGCAAAACTTCAGTTAAAACTCAATCACATGCCCCGTTCATCTTATACCTAGCTCAAGCCTGAATATATATTTGTAGATCAGCAGTTCATAGAGACACAGCCGACACAGATGCCGTGGTTGGGTTCTGGTTGTTTGCCTCAAAACTCCCGCAGAGTGCAATTGCCAGCGGATGCAGCAATGCAGCATTGAGATATGAAACGACTTGCGAATATCTTTGAAGTGGCACGGCGAAGGCTCTTCTGGCTTGGCGCTAATTGTCAGCCAATTAGCCGGATTCGATATGGCCTACATGTGCTGCAGTGGCTGCTGCTTTAATTGTAATACCTAATAATGAAATCTAGGCAAAAATAATGTCCATTGTGATGCAGATGGGGATGGGGATGGGGCTGGGAGGATGGACGGATGGTCGGATGGCAGAGCTTATCCCAAACAATGGCAATTCTGAGTATAATGGGCGCTTCCAGTGAAGAAAGTGCGAACAATTTATGACGGCATAAAACAAAAGTTTTAGAATCAACGGGAAATTTAATGACTACTTTAACCATTTAAGCCGAAAATGTTTATAAATAATGCCAAGGCAGAAAAGTACCCAGTAGCAAAAGAACCAATCAACTAGGTCACTTGGAATAGGTCAGATGAATTCAATTCGAAATGAATTATGTGCGCGTGGGTGTGTGTGTGAGCATAAAAAATTTGAAATTTTACGTAAGCGGAAATGTTGTGAAGCTCAAAAAATGCCAATCAAAACGAGGAAATCATAAAAGCCAAATTTAATGCTATGATTCAGACAATAACTAAGGCGCTCTCACTGCCCCTCTCTCGCGCTCTCTCTCTCTCTCTCTCTGTCTCTGTCTGCCTCTCTCCTTTATTTGCTCGCCTTAAATATGTTTTGGCATTTCGCTGGAAACAATCGATTGGCTTTGTATTCAGCTCAGAAATTATTAATTACCAACGTTTGCACGTAAACAAAAATTTGTAAATCGACCACTTTTGATAAATCACAGACTAACACATGCACACACACACACACACACACATATGTATATAGCTTTGCATGCCACAACGGAACATGGCCACAAACACCAAAACAATTTTGCGATGAAATTGTCAAATTGCAGCGCAAAAACGCAAAAGCAGAAACCGCAACCGCAAACGCATACCAACATGAGGCAACAACAGTGAGGGAGGGGCGAGGGTGCATACAAACATGCCACATGCCGCATGCCACACACACACACACACACACACACAGACACAGAGTTAGTTATCGCTGCCATTGAGCCACATGCACACGATTTCAATTCACAATTTTGGTAAACGAAAATCACTGCGAGGCGAGCGCAATCAATCATAAAACGATGAAATGTCGACGAGCGCGAAGGCCAGCAAATTGAAAACGCAGCCAGGACACGGCCAAAGGACAACGAATAACGGACATGAACATGGCCATAAGGCGACGGCACACAGCCCAGCACACGGAACAGGCAAAGGCAAATAGCGCAGTCAAAGCTAAAGCGATTTCAATTGCTGTTTTCTCTTTCTCTAGCTGCCTGTGGCTGTTAGCATATACATTCTCGATCGCTTAACATAGGAAATGAGGAATGTCACTCTGTCTCTCTCCCTCTGTCTCTCTCTCTCACTCTTAGCCTTAAGTGTTTAAGCTGAAAGTCAAACGCCTTCAATCTTTATATGCTCGACCCTGGCGCAAGTTAATTAAAGCCGACAGCTGACGCAGCAGATGCAGATATAGATAGAGATACACTCACACACACACACACACACAAAGATAGAGATTGAGATACAGCTGACAGTTTGATTGCAGCTCGGTCTGGCTTTTCGGGTTCACTTATCAAATTTGAACTTAATTACCAACGCATCGCAGCGCGTTGCGTGGCTCAGATACGGCTCGGGCCACAAAGCATCATGGCCTAATGAACAGTTTTATGCACAGTCCGGAGCCGCATTTTGTAATCGATGCGAACGGGATTCACGCATAATCGAAGCGTTGCCCCATAAATCACGTTGCATTCGCAGTCAGCTGCCGTAGAGTGTGTCATTAAAATTAACTATCTAGCGCCGTGAATAGCCAAATCGAATTCGAAGTGGCTAAAGCCAAGCCCAGCGACCGGACCCTTCGGCCAACCAATTAGCCACACGCCGTGCCGTCCAGAGAGCTTTACATCTTTTCCTCTAAATATTTGCGCAGAGTTTTTTTAGCTTGTTGACGATTCCTCAAACAGCACCTGCACACACGCACACACATGGCTGTGTGTAAGTGTGTGCATGTATATGGCCTCGACAAGTCGACTGCTCTCAAATATTTGCGCTGACATAACTTTGTCTGCGGCTGGCGCGCGCCAAGCGCTCTGAGAAGCGCCGAGGAGGGCGCTGTAGACAGAAGCATCAACAGCAGCAGCAGCAGCAGCAGCAGACGACAGGCAAACGCTTTGTCTGCGCCTCACAATGTGTGAAAGATAATTATAACATGTGTGCACACACACACACACACACACACACTGAGACTGAGCGTCGAATTGCATGGTTAGGTGGACAGCTGAAGCTTTATTCGTCTCTTTTTTTTCTGCTCTTGTCTAGCCTGCAATCATCGGCCTTTGGCATTGACAGCTCCAAGTTGGACTTCAACTCGAACAAAGCTAACGATGGCCAGCAAAAGATGCCAACACAGCAGACCTCATCGAATGTCAATAGCCAAGTGTTTGCCCAAAGCAAAACATGAATGAGCCACGGCCGACGACCGCAACGACTAACGAAATACACTAACAATTCGAGAGCAAACTCGGATAAAGCAATCTGATCTGGGTAGCAAATAGTGCTTCGTCCAACAACCCACACACTTCAACAGCTCCAACAAGTGCCCAGCCATGCCATACGCGTGCCCTGGCTCAAGGCGAGTGCATAGTGTATCCAGCATAGAGCCATGCGAACATCCATGATTAAAGCCGTTCAAACAAATCATCGCATAAATTATGCAATTGAAGCCAATGTCCCGCTAGAAAAATGACATGTCTTGGCCCCATCCACAGCCACAATCTCCGCCAGCGTTGAGCTCGTGTTCGAGGCGATTTGCGTTCCATTTATTTCCATTTATCGCAGTTTAAGCTGTGCAAAGGGGAGACACATTGATGCTAGTTAAGAGATAGTTGGGCCAATGATATATTACATGTTCATTCATCCAGCTCTTTCTAATCGTTCACTCTCTTTCTCTCCTTGTCTTTAGAGTGCAATTGCAATGATCATGCGCGTCAATGTCGCTTCAATATGGACATCTTTCGCCTATCGCAGGGCGTCTCTGGCGGCGTCTGTCAGAACTGTCGGCACTCGACAACGGGTCGCAATTGTCATCAGTGCAAGGAGGGCTACTATCGGGATCCCACCAAGCCACTAGAGCATCGCAAGGTGTGCAAAGGTAAGTCGATTGGAGTTCTTTTAGTGATATATCGGTAGCTCTGCGATAGAATTATCGATTGCGATGGTAGCCAACGCAACTTGAATGCCATTTCGTTCAAGGAATTCCGTAACGTATCGGTAAGGGGCCATTTCAAATTTAATCGACTATTTCCACACATGAAATCAAAAGAAAAATAAACAGCATTCCATTACAACTTAAACTAATTAGCCCAAATTATGCTCATTACTCGTACGAGTCCAGAAACTCAAACCCTTGCAGCGACGACCTTTGAAAATAATTGATGTTTCCGATAAATTTGCCAGTGGGTAGTAAAAAACTCAAAGCGCATTCGAAACTACGGCTGAAAAGCTAGGACTGCTCGACTGGTAGATACCCTGTACTGTACTGTACTGTACTGTACTCAGAGCTGCAGTAAACTAATGGCATTCAGCAGTTACTCAACGACAGCTGAGGGACTTGATGAAATATTGATCAATTAACCGTTATGCAACTGTAAATCTTATGCCTAGAGTACAGGGTATACTCAGCAGAGCGAGCAACTCATAGAATACATATTTGCTTGATGTTGGTTATACCCACTATGCCTAGACTACAGGGTATACTCAGAGCGATCATCTTAAATATAAATATACGAATGACTTATAAGACAAAAGTGTAATTGCCAGCTTCTTCACTGATCAGTTATATCTCCATCATACCCTGTCAGATATACCTAACTACAGGGTATAATCAAAGCCAGCATATTTTAGCCAAAGAAGCCAAAGAGCTGCAGAGCACAAAAGTGACTGTGGCATTCAGTTAAATATTCTTCATTCAGTTAAATATTTGCTACTTGCTCATGAGACCCGACACTTCTAAAGTACAGGGTATACCCAGCACAAAAAATAGCCACAGGAACTCTACCCGGTGGTCAGTTAATTTATGAGCTGGCCATAATTTTCACGCGCTGCCTAATCAACTCGCCCAAATAAGTTGCTCCAACTACAACAACAACAATAACAAGCAGAAGAAGAACAACAACAGCAGCAACAAAATAAGGCAATTGCTATTTTTAGACTACATATATATATTTATATATATATGCATACATAATCGTATCTATCCATCTAACTGGCCGTTCCGAATCAGAGCTGACGTCGGCAGCACAAAATTTTTGTTGCTCGTTTGGCCAATTGCAAATTGAGTTTTGTAAACAAACAAAAAAGCTACTTAAAGCGTACAAAATCGAGAAATAGAAAAGAAAACAAATATAAACAAAGGCTGCCATTTGCTGCAAACAGAAAATCTGTTTGTTCTTGCCGTTGTTGTTGCAGTTGTGAGTTCCTGTTGTTTCTGCTCTCGTCGCCGTTGTAAATTGCGCATACGCCGCATATGCCATTTGTCATCGTTTCTCAAAAGATGTCGTTGCTGCTGCTGACTAAGCATCATAATTCTGAAAAGCCGTTAAATCCATATCAAAATCTTATCGATTTTTAATTAATTATACAAGCACAGCAACAACAAATCCAACAACCGCAGCAGCAACAATCCAAATTTACAAGGCCAGCCAAATGCGCACGTCGTAAATAAGTAAAGTAAGCAGAGACACACACACACTGACACCTACAGCCCTGCTGAGTTTAATCGTTGTCGGCTTCTCTTTGCAGAATTTTGTTTTATTTTCAAATTTATTTGTTTTCTTTTTAAAATTTCAGTTTTTTTTTTTAATTTTGTCGGTTTTCGTTTTTGTTTTATTGTTTTTTTTTTTTTTTTTTGCGCAACGTCGAAAGAAATTTATTCATTTTAATTTTGACACGCGTGCAATTTGTTTAAAACATTTTTGCATTGTGGTTTTACATTTATTCTCATTGTTGTTCAGCTTGTTCCCCTTGTGTTGTTGTTGTTGCGTGCTGGCAAAATGTTTTACGTCATGTTTTTTTGGCTGGCGACGTTGCCGTTCAATTAGTCAACTGTCCGAGCTTGTTCCTACTTGTCTTGACCTGCCCGCTTGCCCGCCTGTCCGCCAGTCCACCAGCCTGCCAAATGCAGCATTTGCGCCGCATTACAAATGCGAATACTTCAGATGCGGATCAAGTGCAGAGACCTAGCGCACAGCAAGTGCCTTCCAATGCCATGAAATTCGCTTTGATGCCTGGCGCAATGATAGTCGAGCGAGCTCTCATAATACACTTATAATATATACCTTGAGAGGTCTGCATAAATCAGACCATGAAATCCACATCAATTAAATATCAAAGATTTTGGCCAAACACAAGGCTGCAGCTAAAAGCCTTTCAACTGAAAATAAAGAAATTTCGCTGATTTTCTAAAGAATATGTGAAAGAAAACAAACAAAGTTCTTTGGCAAAAACTCTAAGAGCAAACACTTTTCACATCATATGCTGACCAGACGTATCTCAACTAAAGCTCTAGACAGGAAAAAATTTATGGGCGAGAAAAGTACCTTTTCTCACAGTTGCTAAGCACAAGAAAATTTACTGCGAAAATTCTAATTAACTAGAAATGCAAATATCTGAGAAGGTAATAAATAGTCAATATCACTTCTCACATAGAAAATTGTACAATGAATATGAATGAATGAGATAGTGTGAGAGCGAGAGAAAGAAAGAGAGAGAAGAGAGAGAGAGAGAGAGGGAGAGAAGAGAGGGGGAGAGAGAGACAACAAGAAGATAGAAACTCAGGCAGAATGAGAAAAAGGGAGGGAAAGAGAAGAAAGAGAAGAAAGAAGCAAAGAGAAGATAGCAGAGAGAAGAGAGAGGGATTGAGAAAGAGACAGAGAAATTGTGAGAGAAACAGGGAGAAAGAGAAAGGCAGTGTGAGAGAGAGAGATAGAAACAGCGAGCAGGAGAGAAAATAGAGTAAGCAAGAAATAGAGACTCAGATGGACAGACACAGAGAGAGGGATTGAGTGAAAGAAAATGTGAGAGAGAGGCGAATAGGGATAGAGACGACAATTGTTTTTTTTTTAAACAAATATTTAAAAATATTTGGAAGTCAAATATTCATAATTTCATATAAAGTAACAGTAGTTTTAGATAATACAAATTTCTAGAGATTTTGCTGGACATAAAAAAACAAAAATCTTCGAAAAGCCAACATCTGATTCTTGTTGTTCTTCAGCTCTTCACTGATATACATAAAAACGTAAACATATACATGCACGTATACACATACATATACATATACATATACATATACATATACATATACATATACATATACATATACATATACATATACATATACATATACATATACATATACATATACATATACATATACATATACATATACATACACTTATACACATACATATACAGTACGTCTGTTCTGCTCCACCTATTTTGTAAGCTATTCGCAAAGTTTCGCTGCTGTATATGTTTGTATACGTATGTATATATATATATATATATATATATGTATATATAGATATAAATATATATAATTTCTATCTACTTAGACTTGCTTCTTATATACCTATACAAGTGTATAGGTAGGTATATACGAAACTATAAGTTTTCTTGTTGATTGCAAATCACGCGCAGTTCTCATGTCTCGCATTATAATTAACGCCTTAAAGCGAACTCTTCGTGTGGCCGAGCATCCGGGCGGGAGTGTAGCTGCATATTTCAGCTTGTTGTTGTTGTTGTTGCTGACAAGATTTCGATTTAATTTAAATATTCAAATGATTTACTTGAGCCGAGCGCAAATTGAAGCAGACGTTGCCAGCCATAACTCATCCGTCAGGCAGCGGGGCGAGTGCAAATACTGACAGACGTTGGGTGTGTGTGTTCCAAACGGATGTCCAGGCAAACGCAAACACACACACACACACACACACATACATATATATATATATGTGTGTGCTTGCCCAGGCTGACATGTTGTCAAAGTCATTTCAGCTCGGGCTCAGCCAATTTCCTTATTTGCGCAAATGTTTCAATGACCGGAAAATTACACATTATTATTTGTCCAATGAGAGAGATTGCAGTAATGCACACAACCACACACACGCACACACAAATGTCAGCATGTGAGCATTATTCATAGACGTCTAGTTCTGCTGTTGTGTTGTTAGTTTTTGCTGCTGCTGCTGCTCGAAGTCTTGAGGATAATTAAAGGCCGAGCCACGCCCCCAAAAAGTATGCTACGCTTTTTATGCCTCCGCTGTGTGACATCATTAATTTAATGGCTCAAATGACAGTAGCTCGACCTGCAAATACCCTGAAATATGATCGGAAAACTAAACGAAGGCGAAGAAAGCTTACGACTCGGGTCAACTGCCAAACAATTTCAATATGCCCTATGGCTACGCTACGAATGCAAAAAGATACCGCAAATTGCTAATGCTTGGTTTTGTGTCAATAAAACAATGCGCAAAATTATGGCACACACACACACATAGAATGTCATAAACGTGGCTATAAGGAGGCGGGGGTGGGGCGCGCTCTGTGGAATACAATTAACAATATCCGTAGCTAAATACGTGAAATTAAATGCCATAAAATCACAAAGTCACGTGCGAAATGTTACAGCAATAACAGCAACAGCAACAGCAACAGCAGCGGCAGCAGCAGCTGCAATTAAAATAATGTCATGAATTACCTATGCGACACACACACACTTAGAGAGAGAGAGAGAGAGCGAGGTAGACAGTAGAGCAACCGCTACACGTAGAGCAGAAAAAAACTTTCTTTTACTGCCCATTTCGGGGCGCCAAGTTCATGAAACGCAGCCGCTGCCAGTGTAATTATTAGACAGGCAGCAGCTGCGGGGGTGGCTGCGCGGGCGTTGAGGGATGGTCGGGGTATGGGTGGTGGGCGTAATATCACTCAAACATCATTAGAATTTCATAAAACGCGCCCTGCAACTGTAGCGAATCGGTTAAAGGTCGCGCTGCGTGGGGTTCCGGCCAACTTACTTAATTGAATGCCAGACCAAAATGCATTTATCATAGAGCTAAAGAAAGCGGATGGGGCACAGAGGGCGAGCGCGTG